ACGCGGTAGCGAACCCGTGTCGGAGGTATCTTCTCTAGAATTGTTAAGAATGTTTTTTGTATTTATTTTGAGTTTGTGACGTACTTCGAAAAGCAAAATCGCTATTTTCACATTGTCACTAAAATATTCTGTTTTTCTGAAAAAAATCCAGATTTTTTGGGCTTGAGACCGGAACTAATAAATAGAAGACCGCTCTCTAATCGGGAAAATCCGTTAGTATATTAATAAGGAGAACTTAGAACTTTAGATTCTGCCGCGACTAAATCAATCAAATACAGTTTGGTTTTTGAACAGAAATGTTCGTTTGCCTTGCTAAGGCTTTAGTACTTAGAAGTAGCGGATTGCGCCCGCTACACTTGTATAATCCTCTGTTTTGGAACTTCCACAATATATGCAGAGGGTACGTAGATGTATCTTCATGGAATCGCTAGAGTAGCCCATTACATAGTATAGATGAAAATTTTTTGGCCTCAAACGCGCTTTAAATTGTTTTTGAGCGAAGAAAAGGCCGAGGCTACAGGATAACGATGATGAGTGCAATGGATCGGAACTTGCATCAAAATCAAAGTGCAGCTTGTTTGATAGCATGTACCATCATCAATGCCTTCCTGTTCTGAATGTTGGTTAGCGATTAACCCGTGAAAGCACGCGATAGCATTTGCTACATTATTCTAATAAATGTATTTGTACAATAATTGATATTAATGCCGCGAGGTCTTTCGCTATAATTCTTCGTGCCGACTTGTTAAGAATAATTTTACGTGCGCGCATTTCAATTGGTGTAAGGGTTGATTTGTTTCCGACAGATAGCCTGAAATTTTCATACAGGTCTTGTTTGATAAGGCAGCCGGGGTTCCCCCTATCAGAATGACCACAATGAGTCTTTAAGTCACTTAACGCTTTCTCCGAATTTAATTTAGCCAGACCGTTTGTTGCTACGGGAATCCACCCGAATACTAGGCATTCTTTACGCCACGACTCTGCACAAATTGCGCACTCAAGTTCGAAAACTGTGACCACGACACCCAGCTACGAATTTTCATTTTTCCTCTCAGCTAACAATCTTCCATCGCCTCCAGCACCCTTGTACGAAATTTACGCTCCGCACACCAATCGGCCTCGTGAAACGGAGGCTGAGCTCCGTATTCAATGCGACACCCCACGCATCCTCGAAAGATATTAATTGGACAAAGAAGGTCTTAGTGTGAACTTCTGTGAGCGCAAAAGATTTTAGTGGGAGCCACGTCCAGACAAAAACCTTTAATAAGATGTCAGCCGTTCGCGATTTTGATTTGGTGTCTCGCCACCAATCCGGAAATTAGACTTGATTAGTTTCTTGCTTTAGTGTGCAAGAGTTTTCACCCACAAGGTTCTGAATGCACGTGGCACGTCTGGTCAGGCGGTGTGGGCAGCCGCAACATTTGTCGCTGGGATGGTTGCCTTTGTGTTATAGTGATACTGCATTTTAGTTTTTAATCTCGCGCGTGGTCTCCTAGCTTTAATACTGGTGACGCGACACCTAGTTACTCCATCAGGAGGGACCACGGCTATATTCAGTTTACTTTTCTCGAAAGAAGAAGATCACCTCGTCTTTACCCTTAACGAGCCGGAGGCTCAGCAATGGCAGCTACACGGCGCGATTTAGTCGTGGTCTTTTCGATGCCTGGTTGAGGCGCTCCGGCAGGTGTTTCACCAGCGATCAAGGCTGGTGAACGCTTCTAGGCAAAGGAAAATCTTAACTGGCCGTAGCGCGGCCACATATGTCACAATGAAGCCAGATAATTAGTTTGCATGTCTTGATGTCTAAACGTCGGATTGTGAACATATCATGTTTTATTCTTACAAAGTTACAGTCTCGGCCTCTGCATTGACAACTAGCACTTTGGAACAGACAGGGTAGCTATGAACCTCGTATAAAGAAGATTTGATTCTGAAGGTCTGCGCTAGCTAACGTATAAAGCGTTTAGCTTGGAAGTAGAACCGAAAGTCTTTCGGGGGTATGAGGACTGGGGTCAAGAAGGTTACGCGTTAAAGTCAGGTTTATCGATATATGTATGTATTTATATGTCAATGGTAAAACTCTATAAGCTGCAGAGCATGAGACTAGCAGCTCACGTGTATTGCGGACCTCGCGTATCAAAAGTCCCATCCTCCTAATTCATACCGATACAAATGTCGTCATGGTACTTCTCATATATATACATCATTATACGATACTTAACCATTGAAAGAAAAAAAAACTCGACTCGTTGAAATTACTTCCGATGAACGTGTTTGAG